GCTGGCAACATGTATGTTTTTATTTTGTAAAAATTCTTCAAGCTGTATATATGTTAGACTGCAATAGAAAAAATAGAGTCCACCCCCAAAAATGTATTCATCAGGAAAAGAAAAACTTGTATAAATATTTTGATACTAAATTTATTGAGACATCATGAGATTAATACAAGTTACTTTTGGCCTCTACAATTGCAAGAGTTGCTCACTCATAGCAGTGACCATTAGCTTCCAGACATTTGTTAGTATGACAAACTACTGAAGTGTGTGTGCATATTTTTGGTGGACTCTGTATTACTAAGCAATAGTCATTGTATCTGAATCTAGATAGGTGCATCAGTCATCTATAGAGGTCAGCCTGAACCTGACCAATTTGTAAGTCAATTTTCAGCATATAGAAAAACACTTGTGTTCATGTATAAAGGACATACAGCCCCACTTCCTCCAAATGTGGTATATAAATCATAAATAGAACTAAGAAGGAGGGAAATAGCAGAGATGCAAATTATATCCCCATTTCCACTGGAAATTATTTATGGTAGTGGAATATTTAGAAAGTTTGTGATAACTACTAGTTTTATTCATTCAGTTTAGAAATTAATTTATTTTAAACATCAGATCTGTAGAACTACAAAACTGCTTGTCTTACCAAAGTGTGCAAGGTTGGAGCCCATGTTTAGAATTCAAGTTTTCCTTTTATGTACAGGTGCACCTTGATTTATCTCTGAGTCAACACTGATTTATCAATGGTTTATTTCATTTTCAAAGTGTTTAATGGCACATATGAGAAGAAGAGCAAAACATCACAGAGTAGATAGTAAGAATCTTTCATGTAAGGACGATTTGTGAAATCTTATGTTTATTTAATAACTTTAAGTCTGTGCCCAGTAACTATTTTTATATCACCAAGTGAAAAAAATTACATAAATTGAGTACTTCTTATTTTTCCTGATATTTATTTCATTTACAAGATTGGGCCTATGTTTTCTTATGCTTAAATGAAGTCCTGTTACAATATAATACAGTACTTGCAAGCCATCCACTAGAAACAAAAATAATAACCACATTCTTATTTTATCTTTTTAATTCTGAAAACTAGAGTTTATGCAGAAGTGAGGATAAGTGGGGATTTCCAGGGTGAGGTGCATACTGTCCTTCAATCCTCTTCAATTTAAACCTGTGATTCCTGTATATGTGTACAGTGCATGGTTTCTCCTAGCACAAATACGAAAATTCATTGTCAGCTCATTCATTCTTAGAAATTGGAAACATTTAACTTTGATAAATAGTAAAGTATTGATTGTTTAAAATATTTGTACATTTATTACCCATAATGAAAATGTAATTGTGTGTATGTTTATAAATGTCTTTTGTAATCACATGGCATTAAATAGCATTTAAAGTAGTTTTTGTAAATGAGTGACCATCTGAACTATAATTGTGCATATTCTTCAGTTACTATAGCAAACTAGTACTAGAGATAACTTGTTTTCCATAATAATGGTGTGTATATATATATGTGTGTGTGTATATATATATATATATATATATATATGTACGATGACATCCTCAAGCCCATTTTAAAGATTTTGTTATTAACCAATGGTATTCTACATTAATATTTATAAAATGTTTGAATTATTTGAGAGGATATTCTGTAGAACCTAACCATAATCTCATTTTTTAGATTGTTTGGTAGACTTTTTTTTTTTTTGTACCTGGGATGGAACTCGGGTCCTTGCACTTGCACAGCAGGCGTCGAAACCACTGAGCTAAATCCCCGGCCCTGTTTGGTAGATTTAATGTGTAAACATTGAGATTGTTTGGTAGATTTAATGTGTTAACATTGGCATTCTACTTTTCAAAAGTGCTTCCCAAACCAGCACACTCACCTCTGGGGCTTTCCAAGCAGAAGTTTTGAGTCCCCTAATCTTTTTTTGAAAATAGAAGGTGGTAATGTTGGAAATGTGCCAGGAGTAGGCCTTGGTATTTCTCATAATGTGCCACAGTGAAAGTACCTTGTCCCACAAGTCAGTTCCTTTTAGTGAAATCGTATCTCATCCAGCTTTCCCAACCACTCATTTTTCCAGAAAGCTTGTCTCCAATTTAAGATAATATAGGCCAGATAACTCAATATTATTTCATTTCTCATTGTGATAATTTCTATACTTTCTTAGAGTTTTAACATCTGGTTACCAAGTTTTCACAATTGTCCATTAAAAATGCAAAAGTACTTATTTTTTCTTCAGTGTAAATACAGTTGGTATCTGACTTAATGATGGTTAGACTTACTGCTTTTCAACTTTACACTGGTGCAAAAGTGATAGCATAGTTGAGATTTTGAATTTTGAACTTTGATCTTTTCTCTGGTTAGCAATGTATGAGGTGTTCTTCTCTCAGGGTGGGGGTGGGGGGCACTGAGCCTCACCTCCCTGTCAGCCACCAGATCTGGAAGGGAAACAATCAATATTCTACAGTGGACTATATAGCTAGTCTAATACATTCAGTAGGTTAGGTGTATTAAATGTATTTTTGACTTGTAATATTTTCAGCTTATGATGGGCTTCTCTTGAGGGAATCACATCATAAATCAAGAGGCTTCTTTGATTTAAAAACATAAAACATAAAATTATTTCCCTTTTCCCTTCTGCAACTCACTTGATAATAAAAATTTGGTGCTTATTGAGGCAGGACCAGTGATTCACACTCCAGAGTCAGGCCTCCAGGACTTGAATGCCAACTCTGCCATATATTGACATGTGACCCTAGACAAGTTATTAATCTCTCTGTGCATCTGTCTTCCTCATCTGTAAAATAAGAGTAATGATAATATTTTTCACAAGGCTGTTGTGATGATTAAATGTTATTTTTCAGTGAAAGCATTAGTGTCTGCTATTACTTTGTCCAAAAACTTCCTAGGGTTATATAAATAAAATCACATTTATGGTTGTTGCTTACAAACATGAGATGATATTGCTCTATAACTTGCTACTTGTAATTAATAGACTGTATATTTTTCCAAAACTACTTAATTTTCTTAAATAGTTGCATTGTAGAGCACAATGTTTCCAACCATTTCTCTATTAACATTCACATTCTTTTCCTTTTGTGATTTTATAAAAATCCTACAGTAAACATCATTGTACAGTAAACATCCTTGGGCCTCTCATTTTATGTATTGGTATATTAGATTCCAATATATAAATTACTTCATTAAAAGATATTTATATTTTTACTTAAGTCAGCACCCCCCAGATAAGTTATAGAGGCATATTGTGTTACCACTAAAAAGATATAAATATATGTGTGTATAATGTATGTATACATATTTATATATAACAAGGATATACATATATAAAATATGCTATGAAGAAAAATGAAATTCTAAAAATAATCCAAAAGAACATAGGAAAAGAAAGCAAAAGGAACAAAGACAGAATGAATAGAAATCAAATAGCAAAACAGCAGACTTAAATTTCACTATATATATGTATATATAATCACACTAAATGTGAATGGTCTAAATGTTCTAATAGAAAGGCAGAGATTGTAAAACTAAATAAAATGAAAACACAAGACTTTAAACAGGTGTAGATGTGTTAAAATACAATGTGTAAATGCTATTATAAGAAAGATGATGTGAGCCCGGGGATTTAGCTCAGTGGTTCCAGCACCTCACCTGCCTTGTCCCAAGTTCAATCCCAGGGACCAAAAAAAAAAAAAAAGAAAGATGATGTGGCTAATAAAGACTTCAGAACCTCAAATTTTACCAAGGAGGGCATATAATAATGATAAAGGGGTCAGTTTATCAAGAAGATACGATTTTAAATTTGTGTGTCTCTAATCAGCTTCAAAAGCATTGGGAAAAAAGGAAAAAGAACTGAAAGGAAAAATCAACAGCAGTGGGAAATTTCTACGCCATTTTCTCAGAACAAGTAAATAGAAGTCACTAAAATAGACCATTACCTGGGCCAAAAGTACAACAAGTAGATAATTGTGGCACACAAGGAATTCAAAATGGAATACAGTGTTTCTATTGGCCTAGAATAAACAAAAAGTTCCCTATACAGAAGAGTGGGTATATCTGTGAGTTGACATGAAGGAAGACATACTCTTAAGCAAATGACAAGAGGCAATACAATATGATGCCAGACGCCTGGTTAGTTCTGTATCAGAAAAGGTACGACTTAGAGGTCGGGGTCAAAGGTCGCCTCGAGGCTGATGTCGAGTGCAGAGCTGGTGAGCCTGGTAGGTCCGACAGACGGGTCGGTGAGGGGGTGAGAGGCACGGACAGAGGAGGCCAACAGCGGCCAGAGAAGGATCTGGAGGACAAGCAAAAGGACGTGGGTGGTGGAGGAAGTCACTGTGAAGAGAAGAGCGGCGCTATGACTCTATGTAGAGGGGTTTAGGAGGTCACGTCGTGGACAATATATTGTGTTGACCCCTTAACTGTAGTCACCAGGGAGGGCCTCTTCTTGTTAATTCTGGGCGGTGCATCCACCTGGGGAAGATTAAGCCTGAAAGGCAGCCAGCTCAAGGCCTGGGGTGCAGGAAATCAAGGGCCACTGAAGGTCGTGTGGTCCAACCCACCTGTCCTCAGAGACCGCCCGCGGGCAGCGCCACCTGGAGAGCCTAGGACCGGACGCTCCCCGGCTAACTCGCGCGTCCATTGCGACCGAGCACCGGACTGCCAGGCCAGGAACCCGCGGAGGCCCTGCGCGCCGCGAACTTTCCCAGGGCGCCCTGCCCTCCCCTGCCGGTGCGCTCCGGGCCGGCCTTCTGGAGCTCAGCCGCTCGGGAACCACCTGGCGGGTGCCGCGCGGTCCTGGCCGTCCGAAGGGCGGTGCAAGGCGGGCGGCGGAGGGGGTGCTGGAGCCGGCGGGG